TTGTCTGATAAATTGTCTGTGAATATGATGAGCAGAAATGCATAATACTTATCAGCTGCTCTCTTATCTGTATTTGTATGAATTGATCGAGTGGGTAATGTGTTGTTCCTCCTTGATATATTAGCCATGGGATCTCTTGATCAGAAAGCTTAAGTGTCGTCTTTTTCCGCAATCTGCATTTGTTTATATGATCATCCTTTGATCCATTGATTATGTCTGTATCTTAGTTTCAAATTAATCTGCTTGTCTAGTAGGGAATAGGGCCATCCTAGATTCTCAAGGGTCCGTTTTATGGCTCTTTCTCGAGCTTTTAGCTCCACTCGTGTGGTCTGGGGCAAAGAGGATCGTCATTCTCACGAGAAAATCCGAGAATTATCTATCTGGTCACTTTCAGTTAATCTGAGAGGCAGTGATATTGTCCATATAGGAAAATGTAAAAGCTTTAGACATCGTAAATCGCACATAGTTCGTTCGACAAAACCTTCCGGAGCTTCCTCAAGCCCAGATTTGTCCTCATCCCAAAGTAATGCTCACGATTCTCAAACGGCAGCAAGTGGGTAAATTCAAGTTTCTGAAGTTTTCTTAATGTTGTGATGTGTGATTCGTAAGCCGTATTACTACTTTTAATTGTTATTTTCGAATTTATAGATGAGTCTGTGTTGATTTTGTTGCGGCATGGAGAATCAATGTGGAACGAGAAGAACCTCTTCACTGGGTGTGTGGATGTGCCGTTGACTGCAAAAGGAGTAGTGGAAGCCATTGAAGCTGGGAAAAGGATAAGCAAATTCCCGTTGGATATTATATACACATCGGCTTTGGTCCGTGCTCAGATGACGACTATGCTTGCTCTGACACAACATTGTTGCATGAAGGTTTAGTTTATTTTTATTTTTCAAATTTTCGGAATATTCCATACCCTATTGAATTACATGATTGCTTGACTTTCAAATATACATTGAAAAAAAAAAAGAGAAAACATTGTAATTGTTAAAGAGCCTGAGTTTTAGTTCATATTGGGGTAAAGGGAAGAAAGATAATAATATCTTATCGATGTCCTGTTTAGTTTATTTGTTCTGAACCATCTGTGAATGTTTCAAAATTGTATGTTCAGGAAATTTTATAACTAATGTAGTAATAGATAATTTTAGGCATTATATGTTGCTGGCCAAGCCCTTTTCGCCCTCACAAAAACACAGAAGGAAGAATACAAACATGATTTTGGAATTAACCTACGAAATGTATTTTCAGGTGCCTATAATTGAGCATCATGAGACTGAACAAGCGAAAGCATGGAGTCAGATTTTTAGTGAAGGCACCGTGAAGGAATCTATTCCTGTCATCGAAGCATGGCAATTGAATGAGAGAATGTGATTTTTGTTATCCACCTTATATATACATTTCGCTTGCCTTGCTACATTGAAAACAATATTTTTTTTTCATAGGTATGGGGAGCTTCAAGGTCTTAATAAGCTGGAAACTGCTGAAAAATACGGGAAGGAGAAAGTTCATAACTGGCGTAGAAGTTATCACGTTCGCCCTCCGAATGGGGA